CATAGTATACCTTGAGTCTCTCTCTTCCTCCTCCTCCTCCTCCTCCTCTTCCTCCTCCTCCTCCTCTTCCTCCTCCTCCCCCCTTCCTCCTCCTCTTCCTTCTTCTCTTTCTCCTCTTCTCTTTTGTACTGGGGATTGAACCCAAGCCCTCAGGGCTAATTGTGTGCTACCATTGAGCTATCCTTGCAGTCCTTTATTCTATGCCCCAGTTTTCCAATTACATGTAGTGGCAATAATCACAGTGTACCTACCTACCTTTTAGGGTTTTGTGTAATGTATGTGAAGCATTTACACATCACTTGTCACAGAGTAAGGGCCACACCTGTTATCACAGATATCCAGTTTCAAGAGGCTTGTACATTTCATACCAATGACACTTCAGACATATCCCACCCATTTCTGAGCTCACTGAGTTTTACATACTGTAAAACTGTATGTTTTACATACTGTAAAACAAATATGCAAATACCAGAGAAGTTTGGACAGGAAATCTATAAAGATGCATGAGTGACCTACGATCACTAGTTCTAGGTCAACTGCAAATACTCATCAGCAGGCCAGTGAGATAGCTCAGCAGATTAAGTGCCTGCTTAGGCAAGCTCAGGGAAGGGGTTCAATCCCCAGCACCACATGCTGTGCCAGCTCTGCCCCTGCATGCACTGAGCCAGCCCTTGAATCTGGGCATGGTGGCGCATGCCTGTAATCTCAGTGCTGGGGAGGCTGAAAATAGCAGGGTCACTATGAGTCTGAACCACATAGTGAGACCTGTACCAAATACATTGCTAAACTATTGTGCACTTTGTAGAACTTTGAAGTTTTTTGACTGATGGACATTTTCTTCAAAGGACTGGATCATTCTACTGTTCTATGTTTCTTAGGGAAAATTACAAACTATGTCTTAATATTCATAATAAGTCAAATATTTGCAGATTTACAACATGAGTGATTATGTTTAGTATGTAGTAATAGCATTTTCCCCTCTATTTTGGAACATCTAGTTAATTATAAGTAAATACCATGGTGTACTGGGAAGAACATGGTCTTGGTGTCAGAAAATTCATCTAAGAATTCTGGTTCTGTTACTTCTTGTGATTTCTTAGGTGACTAAATGGCTTAAGTTCTTTTAACCCCCTTCTGCTCACCTGTTAACACTTAACTCCTTGCATGGTTATTGTGAGGATTAAGCTAGATAATGCATGTGAAAATGCTTGACATGTGGTATGCACTCAGCAAACCTATGAAAGAAAATAACTTGTCTACACCCCCTGTACATTATAGGAGAAAGGCAAACTTAACCCACTAAATACTTTTCATGAACAAAACCCTGGAGTGAGATAATAAAGGAGGGCATCTCTGGCCATATTAATTTGCTAAACCAGTAAGTGCATAAATAAGGAGTATGAAAAGCAGGTTTATGGAATCCAGCATGCTTGCCAACATCCAGTTTATGCAGTTTGATAAGCTGGTGATTCACTGTACAGAATAAAATGCCAACATCAACAATAAGTGTATAGTAGGGTTTTTCTTCTAGAAACAATTAGGTCTCAAAAATAAAAGTCTTCTCTTTGTGATAATAGAGGTTTGTAATTACCCAAGAAAATTCTGTTCTCTCCTCTAAAAGAATATTAAAGAAAGAAGTTAAACATCAAATGGATAAGTAGTTGTCAGAGAGCTATTTCAAGACTTACTGTTCTGAGCAGAGTGCTTAGAAGGTAAACACACTCTATAGAATGCCTAGATATAAGTGAGATTACTATATTTTGATACTAATATCATCACACAGCGCTCTTTGTGAATGGAATTTTTTTCCCTTTTCTGTGGAAGGATAACACTTCCACATTCAATGATCTCCTTAAAAGAAAAAAAAAAGAAAGAAAGAAATTGAGTTTAACCAAATTTGGTGGAGTAAACTATGCAAATAATCAACAAGGGGATTGACTAGACTGTTGATGATGTCACAATCCCATCACTTAAGTATAAGATTTTTATTGGCTATTGTAAGAGGCAGAGAGGACCAGGAAGGCATAGCAGCCCTCCAAAATTGGAGAAATCTTTGAATTTTCTCCTTTTTCTTTCCTTAAAGCACACTCAGGAGCATTTACTTGATATTACTTTACCCCATATTATTCCATACGTTATTGCTTAGTCATGTTCTCTATATGTAAGTAAACATTTTTAATAGCTGCTTAATATGTCAAATTAATATTTCAGGGCTTATTTAACTCTTATTCACTTTATTCTTAGGCACTAAAATTGTCTCAGTTTTTGGCCTTTAGAAATGAAGCTGCAATTACTACGTTTATGTAGAAATTATACATTTTATTTCTTCCAGAGCATAGAATCTCAGCTAGCTGGCAATATATCATTGAAGTAAGCAATACCTGACTTCCAATCTTGTGATTGTCTCATTCGTGGGATCCCTAAGAGTTCCCCAAGAGATCTCAGGGTCTCTCTCATGACGGAGGCTGGTAAGTCTCCTATCTATAACCTGAAAAACTGGAAGTCTCTGCTTCTCAGTTCAGGTAGGGCCCACATTCTTTATTCTGGGAGCTGGATGCCTTTCAGTAGTGGGAGAAAAGTCATGGTAATCATGTGAACAGAGGAGGTCTGTGAAGCATAAACTTAAACCCTGATTGTACTGCTGTGTGTGGAAGCCTGAACTGGAAAATAGCTGCTTTGTGTCCTTTCTCGTCTCTATAGGGACTCCACACAAATGGCTGGACAATCTGTTATTTAAAGCTTAAATTCCTAGACCTTAAAAAGAGAAAATACCAACTTTACTCAGACAGAATCAGTTCTTTATTATCTTACATCTGAAGATGAATATTTAAGGCAGTTTTGTCTATTATTCCCTGTAGTACTTTTAGATCTAACAAGAGCTTTCAGTGGCATTTATTCCTTGAGGAAAGCCAAGGTGTGAGGCATTTTGCTAGGAACC